AATGGGGCCTAAGAGGAAGGGGACCAAAGACACAGGTGGTATTTTATTAACAAGAGCTACAATGTAACATTAGAGAATTATGGAGGGAATTGGCAAATATGGCCCCTTTCACATGTGCAGTTTTTCAGGCAGATCTGATCGGAAGCCCAATGTTAGTGTGTAGGCAGCCAGACACACGTTTGTTTACATACGATTACCCTGACTTCGTCCAGGTCCGGAAAACAAAATGGAACAGGGTTCTGTTTTGACAGATCTGATCATGACAGATTGGGGGTAATCTGATGTAAACAGACATGCGTCCACTTACATCCGAGTCCCCATAGACCTGACATGGGTCCAGTAAGTTCAGTTTTTTGGCAAGATGATTCATGGGTTCGCTGCTGATTGGTACTGACAGGCACCCGTGTGAAAGGGGCCTTAAAAAAGAAAATGATTTTAACCCTTGCAGTGGGGCTACCCCTGTACTGCAAGGGTTGATTGCTTGTTATCGTCAGGAGCGAAAATAAAGATATACTCACCTGAAACCTTGGAGCCAGCTGGCTTCAAGACCGGCCCCTGCAACCTCACTCCCCCTTGGCTCCAGCAGTCTTAAGGTCCTGTGCGTCATCACATCCTTTACAGTATATTGGACGCCGAGTGACATTCCATTGCTGGAGCAGAGGAGAGGCTTCAAGGATCTGAGTAGCAGCCAACCAGCTCCAAGGTTCAGGTGAAGAAACATTTGTTAATTTTGTTCCTAGATGAAACCAAGCACTTAACCCTTGCGGTGCAGGAGTAGCCCCACTGTGAATGAACCTAGTCTTATTACTACTCATAATGTTCAACCAGAAGAGAAAATGGCCTAAGAATATTCAATGTTGCCCCATTCTCACAGCAGCTGCTTAATTCGAACTGAATGAATGGACATGCAGTATCACTGGACAAATTATGCAAATGTTTCTATAAACAGACCCCTAAGTGAGGGAGGTATGACTCTCAGCACGCTAACTTCACATAACTAGCCTAAGTAGACATGACAGTGTACATTTGTGATTTACTTGCAGTATGTTTGTATAGTACATGCAGTGGTAACTGTGCAGATGATGATGTCTTCCATATTTTTCTAATAGAAATTTGGTAACATATTTGTATTTTATTCCTGCATTCTGCCTGTCCCTCACTCCCCTGTCACCTAGTGTTTATTTGAGCTCTCTGTGTTGCACATTGGCGGGACCATGTGATGGTAAGAGATGTGGAAAACTGTGATTATTGAAGGGTAATAATATAATTGTACAAATATATATTTTATCCTTTTTTTTATCAAAGTTACTATGTAATGCCATTTATCTACTGATTTTAAACTAGAGAGAATACATACTCTATTTATATTTTATAGCAAAGTTGTACTTTATAATCTTTCATACATACACTGCACAATAAAATCTTTACCAATGCACATCGTCTGTTTTGGTTTATTTGTCAAGTACTGGCAGGGCCGTAGCTACCATGAGGCCAGTGAGGCACTCACCTCAGGCGCAGCTGAGAGGGGGAGAGGGAGCTCACCATGTCAACACATAGCCGGCGTTCCACAAGGGAAAAGAGGGGCGGCACAGGCTGCAGCTTCTCCTCGGATCCCTGCCTCTCTCCCCCGCCTTTATGGGCAGAGGCAGCGGGGACCTGAGGAGAAATGGGGTGCTGAAGCCGGTGTGGAGGAGGGAGCTGACATCCAGGACCTGCTTGGAGAAATACCTCCCTCTGACCGGAAGTTCCGGTATTCGGAGGTAAGTATCGGAGCATTTGGACGAGTACTCACACAAAGACTCGGTATCGGTATATCCCTAGTGAATAACATGCATAAAATATGCTAAATGCACAAACAATATAATCTCATGAGGAAATTATTGGTGAGATGAATGGCCTGGTAAGGGTCTCTTTAATCCATCATATGGATATAACTGCTCTCCCAGTAACATTGCATTCTCTAGGTCATACGGAATAAGAGTGTCATAATAACTACACTTTGGCACACTGTGACTCTGCTCAGAAATCAGCAGCATGCAGAAGCTCTGTCTGGTATCGCCCTATGATTAATGGTTACACAAATCTCTCCAAGTACAGGGTGGACTGCCTCGTCTCAGTCAGCCCTGTGGACACTTCCCTTCTTCGTCTGTCATGACACCTTTTTAGTTTCTCACTCTTCCTGGAATGTTACTTTAGGGGTCAAAGAAATGAGACTTTGATGAGCAATAGCCACAATGGCAAGTATAGTTACATAGGTTGAAAAAGACACCAGTCCATTGGGTTCAACCGATAGAGAAAAACAAAAGATGAATAATAAATAGAAAACCTCCATAAACTGAACCCTATACCCATACCTGATCCAGAGGAAGGCAAAACACCCCTATACAGCATTGTCTAATTCGCTCCAACTGTAAAAACAAGTAAACTGCAGATATAAATCACCATCTTCCTATATATTCTCAGCTTATGTGCACATGGAATTTATTTTTGTGATCTACAGCTGTGAATTTCTGTTTGCTATGCCCCATTACCTTTTTGTATGCACTGGAAATCACAATAGACAGTAACTGTCCTTGCTTGTTCTATGCGACGATTGTATAGTCCACACCGTCCTGATTTCCAGAACCTGGAAGGATTGGGTAAAACCAATGTCATTTTGATCAGTTTGGGCACAATTTGGAAAGAGCGGACTTAAAGCTGCTCCAATTTTTGACACTGCAATGATGAAGCATGGTGTATTTAAAGTATTACCGTACTCAATAGAGCAACAGAGCAGTACCTATGCTGGAAATGTATATTCTACAAGGATGTGTATACCGTCTGCTCTCTGCCCCCTCTATACGAGAGTATATGTAGATAATCCATTTATCGGTCTCCTTAGACTACAATACTACCCCTCCCCCAGTATAATCAGGAACACATGTGAATAAATTGCTCCATCACTAGCCCCATCTGAAGGGGAACCTTTAACCTACTTTCAGTATGCTTCTCTCTATGATTCATTTGTGACAGAATGAGTTTGCAGGACTGCATTCTAATTCATGTTTTCTTTTGGGAACTATGTTTTCTTGTTCACATAGCACTGACTTACTCCACTGTGATTTAAAGGGAACACTGAACCATGCATATAAACGCTCATGTCAGATCAGCCATTTAGTATGAGTAGAGAAAGTACTGCAGCAACCAGGGCCGTAGGAAGGGTGAAGCAAGCGAGGCACTCGCCTCGGGCGCACCTGCGAGGGGGCGCAGCCAGGGCCGGCCCTGTATTCAGTGAACACAGCACCGAACTCTTCTGTTTGGTAGCGCTATTATAAACACAGAGCTCCCCTCCCACACTGTGACTAGTAAACACTCCGCACTATCCGCCATCCCTCACTTGGCCCAATGATTATGGGCATTGCCCACCAATGCGCCTCCACCTATATGCAGAACCCTCTCCAGTCCTTCAGCTTGAGGGAAACAGCCAGGAAAGATGATCACGGCTACTGCTGCCCTTTCACCACAGCGCTCACCGCTCTCATCAATGTCCTTCCATCGCCAACCAACGAGCTGGGTGTTACATCATGGGCAGGGCAGTACTGAAGGGGGCGGGAGGCGACTAAGGGGAGAGTGGTGACTGATAATGGGAGGCTCCTATTCATTTCCATTTGTAATGTGATTTTGTCACATCTGTGTCCCCATTTGTTGCAGTGTCTGTTGAGATGCACACAGCTTACTAGCACAAGCAAGGTTGGCTCCATATTACCCTGCAAGGGAAAGGAGCCACCCTAAAACAGGATATGAGGACCAGCTGATTCTACAGAAAACAAAATCTTTTAAACATCAAGGAGCAGCATCCATTGTAAGTGATTTAATCAATATTTGAAATAGCTTAAAAACATTTTGCCTTTAATAATCACATGTTTACAACCTTCCAAGTATCAGCACCCTTTGAAACAATGCACTTGCAAAATTCTTCATTTTAGATTTAGTGTGGTGTTAGGTTTTAGTCTTCTGTGTCTCCGTTGGGGACATTCACTCTCTAATTAGTCCCCCTGCACAACTGCTGTTACAGGGAAGTGGAGACCAGACTATAAAAAAACGGATAGTAAAATGTTTGTCTTTTACGGAATATTTATTTCTGCAACTTTAACTGAGCTTTAGAGTATTTAACCACTTCCGGCCACAATATGTCTATAGACCGCAGCTGGACCCGGAAATGATGTGTATTAGATCACTTCTGGAGTCACTTGTTAGTCTCCGGCTCTTAGAGCCAGGAGAAGAAGCTGGGGAAGCAGATCTCTGAAGTGAGATCCTTAGGTGACATTAGGAGGTCTATTACGTAGGGTGCCTGTTAGCCCCCTCTGTGATAGCAATAGGGTTAGTGTAAAAAAAAAAGTGTTTAAAAATTAAAGTAACATTGTAAGAAAATGTAAAAAAATGTAGGTCGCCCGACCTGCACGCACAAACATGCGTCGGTGCGCCTAGGGGCGAAAACGACAATTGCACTTCACATTACATATTGCCGCGAACGTCGGAGTGAGAGTAATAATTCTAGGGCCATCAATCATAGTTAGCACTAAACTGATATATAGCGGTATAAGCGTTTAAGTTCCCTATGGGAAATTTTGGGTATTGACGTGTTTGTGGCTTCACGGGCAAACGCAATTTTAAGGCTTGACGTTTGGTATCTATTTACCTGACGTGACCTCGTCTTTCATATTTCACCAAAAAATTGGGCATTATATTATATTTCTGTGCACTACATTTTTGTTTATTTTTTCCTAAAAATACTGGTTTGATAAACATTTGCACAAAAACCGTGTGACATACAAAATTGCAACTAGCATTTTTTTATTCTACAGGGCCTCTGCTTTCAGAACATATATCATTGTTTGGGGGTTTGAAGCCGTTTTCTAGACAAAAATTTATATTTTATCATGTGTGCGCAAATAGTAAGAAAATGCTCCAGACAGCAAGTGGTTAAGAAAAAAATAAAAACACACAAAGTAATAGACTTCAAAAATTTTATTTCCTTTCTTGAAAGAAAAGTTTCTGTTCACAAAATTAGATACACAAACATATGAGAAAAATAAAAAGATCACAGTACCATTAAAATAAATGTACAAGAGTGTGCTATGTACAAGTTTAAAAAAATAGTTCATTTCCCTTCATACTAAGTCCGCTATAAATACGTACATTTCCACTCAAGATTTGGCATTTAAAATGTTGACTAAAATGTCCAGCGATGGCAAACTGAGCAGAAAGATCCATAAGTATCATTTTTCAAGTACCTATCAATTTCCCCCCAAAGTGCCCCACCATAAATATGTCTAAATATGTAGATGTAGAGGATTTCTGAAGCTCTTAGAGGCCATTCTTCACCAGCTGGTGAATGCCATCTTCATCTATTGTAAGAGGTGCATGGAACTCCTTGTTCTTCACATAAGTCTCCAGGCCCTGATTGAGGAAAATAAAAGCATTTCAGTGATGACATCTGAGATAAATTGGCCCAATAAATGTCAGACTGGTGCATATAAAACCCACCAAGAAATCCAGCTGCATTAGCTGAAGCTTTCAAATTGATTGTTCTATTTCCGAATAGGACTTTGGGTAAAACAGCCATTTTTACTTTGCTTTCATCTAACCATATAATATACTGGACAGATCTTTGCTTACTGCCCAGGCAGAACAGTAATTCAAGGCGTGAGCACAAAAGGTTTCAATAAAAAAACAAAACTGACCACTTTCCTAGAGTAGAGCTAGCCATACAAGAATTAAAGTTCAGGAGATTCCTGCTGAATCAGCCAAAATGCAAGCCATAGGTGGGCCTGTTGACACCAGCCAGCTTCACAAAGGTCAACTGAAAATTTGGAGGAGCTGGGTGGAAAATTGACTTAATGACTGCTTCCAACCAGTAAATTTTTGGAAATTTCAGGAGATTCCTGCTGAATCTACCAAAATTCAAGCCATAGCTGGCCCTGTTGGCACCACCCAGCTCCACAAAAGTCAACTGAAAATTCTGGCAGAGCCAGGTGGACAATTATTGGCTGAACATAGACTACGTCCATTCAATCAATCCTCAGGTATTCAGACAGTCACAGGTGCCAGCTATCTGTATACAATAAGTGGCAGAGGAAGACACCCTCATCTACGCTATTTAGAGAGAAATCCAAAAACTTGATGGCTAACCCAAAAAGAACTAACCAAAACATGATTACCAGCAACCCCAAATAAAAGCAGGTATAAACTGCAGAATACCAAGGTAGGGTAAAAGCAACAGCCCCAAATGTACCCATATACAGGACCAAGCTTGGTTGCTTTTCTTTACAGAGCGAGTCACATGGCCCTCCTGTGTGTCTCAATATGCCCTTTCCCCTCAGGAAATCTGACTCATTTAGCCCTCGTTCACACCTGAATGTTTTGTAGCGCGTTTTACGCTCGACGAACGCTCAAAAATATAAATCCCATTGTATTCAATGGTCTGGTGGTCTTGGCGCATTTCCGCCCGTCCCTAACACGCTACAAAACGGCCCACGCCTGAAAAGGTACATGTACTACTTTGGGCCGTTTTTGTTGCGCGTTTCCATTGGGATACAGCCAAGTAGCCCTCGGAAACGCGCGTGTGTCGCGCGATTTTTTTTACCGCTAATCCCTGTAAGACAGACGCGCATTTACGATACACCTAGTTGTGAACCAGGCCTAAGAGTTCAGTCTCAAATACCAGTAAAGAGCAAAACACAGTTCAGCTGTCATCACACAATCATCAAGCATTACTCAAAGATTAGGTAACAGTTGTTGCTAATGCCGGTTACTGTTGTTTAGAGGGCAGTTCCCAGAGATTTGTGGAAGCTGAAATCTTTGCACATCTTAGCTAGATCTGAGTTCAGACTGGGTGGAGCACACATGGACACATGGAAAAGATGAGTTATATAGGGAGGAGATGACTTGCTTCCAGGTCCATTCTAGAACAGTTTGAGATGCTTCTGAGATCATTCACAGTTCAGTGACAGTTTTATTTGACCTGCAGTTGACCTTCTGAGCTGCATCAACCTTCTTTTGCATCCTCATTGACTTATATAGGAAAATAAGTAGTAGATTCTAACATCTACAGAGCCCATCCACTTAGGCCCTTATACAGATGTGGACTGCAAATACCCAGCAAATGATTTGTACCCGAAGGGCTTAACGTGCAACTAAATTTATTTAACAAAAGTGTACAAAGCATCCCATTTAACCTAAACTGCATTGTAAGTAGACAGAGCTTAGAGTCCACAGCTTGTCTTGGTAGCCAAAAGACCCCGTGCACCAACTTTGTTTTCAGTCACTTCCCCGAGCCGACTAGGCATAGTACTGTGCAGGCACAAGACAGCCCACTGATGTATTTGGATACCCCATCAAACAGTGTAGAGTTTATGTATAGATAGCCAATAGAGCCCAGAGCACTTGCACAATACCACCCCCAGCCAGCTCAGGCAAAAAGATGCAGTAGTGCAGATCTATGACAAGACAAGCTTTTGGTCTAAGGTCTACTCACAGTAAGTCATAAACGTTTTATTAGATGATTTCAGAACAAATATATATTACCCAGCAAAGAATTTCTTTAATTTTTTGCCGAAGCACTTATTGCAAGGGAAACGAGCCACCCTAAACCAGGGTGGCACCTGTTTTTTTTCCACAAACAGGTCACAAAAAGATTGAGGGGTGTGCAATTCCCATCGCCTGATGCCCGGGACATGCAGTACCGGGTGCCAGGTAGGTGGTTTCTTTTCTACATTTAGCCCTGCTGCAGGCTCTATAGAGCAGCCGCTCAATTTGTGCAAGTGATCTAGGGACCCGCGACCATGTGTTCAGGACGAAGAGCAGGGAGCAGCTCAGAGACCATCCATTCAGCCATCACAAGTAATTTGGGAAAATTGAATTAGCAGCTCAAATCTGCCACCCCCCCGCCTAGATTTACCTTCCGGTGAATGGTCCTTCCCCTCCACAGGTGCACCATCTGTACCCCGTACTGCTGTCCAGCTCAGCCCTGCGCTACAGATTTGGAATTTCACTTCCAAATTACAAGCACTGACCAATGAGAAGCGCTTCTTCTTCATGGTTACAATTATTTTTTGTATCACGATAAGTAGATTGCTATGAGTGACAAGTAGATTGGGCCCCTGCTTTAGTCCTTGGACAAGTAGATTTCTTAAAATGTTCACACGCCTGAGACTATACAATCTTTCATACATGAATGTCAGCAGGAAAAAAACTCTATACAGCTTGAATTTTCTGGCCAATTGCAGTGGGGCGAATGCTCTTTCTGCAGGTCTATCTTCCCATTTTCAGATAATCAAACTATTGTGCACCATACACATTGCCTGTACCCAGAATCATAGTTATAACACCTGACACTGCATATGTGATTCCAAACAAATGATATCTCTAGATGAGATTGTGAATGGTTTATGGAAAGATCTGTTTGTATCGTATACAAGTCCAGCAAATACTGCCTTCGGTCATTGTTTCCTTATTGGAGGCTGAATTTCAGAACTTACCTCTCCTGCATAGGAGACAAGCGGAGAAATCTCACACTGAATGGGCACATCACCAGCATCCTTCATGCTGAAATGGAAAAGAAAAAAAAAAAAAAGCCATTTTAACTGGCATATGAAGACACGTTTACTGTGTGATGACACCGATAGCAGAGAGATAAAGTCCGTTCCTCTGCCAGGCTAAAAAGTACATAGAACTAGAAGAGATAACCAGCCATAGAAGAGTAAAGATCATGCAGATCTGCTAATTAGTAACCACATGCTTCACTGAGAGAAGCCTGCAGAAAAAACAGAGCATGTCTATCATTCAGTCATTCAGACTCCAAATCTAAGAAGCAACTAAACTACAGCACTTTGTTCTAGTCATCGGGGGAATCACCCAGAGTCAGCAAAATCTGCACTGCTTCAATCAGTGAAGCTTAAAAGAAACAGTCACCACAGGTAGTGTTTATATAGAGTGTGTTCTTATCTCTTCTGGAAGGGAGCAGTTGGTATCAATTTGCGTATAAAGCTCAAATTAGGTCGGGCCAACTTTAATTTAAAACCAAAATCCCCCTTATCAATCACCTACCCCAATCAAATAATAGCCTATGGTGGTTGCCATTGTGAGTGCATTGCTTCAAAGAGTGCGGATACTTGGAAGACTGTAAACATGGGCATGGCAGTTCCTGTCATGAGAAAAAACATGAAGGCTTCCAATCCTGAATGCTGACCAACTGGGAATACTTTCTAAGTTACTAGCCAAGAACTTGGTGGAGAATGTCTTCTCTCCCTTCCCTGATCTGAACACTTCTTCCAGATCAGTGACCCAGAAGTATTAGCAGTGGGTCAGCCTAACAGCACTTTCAGCAGGTAATCAATGGCAGCCCATGCATTTTTCTCATTAAAGGTTTACTTTAATAAAAAAAAATATCAGTGAAGACTGCAAAAGATTAAAAAATAAAGTAGTCATTGAAAATACCAAAAAGAACTTAATGTATCATGAGGTCTGATAATTTTTTAGCTTATTTAGGAAAACAAAGAGCAACACCATGTCACAGCAAATAGACGTAAACGTTTATCAGTACAGTGGTCGAAGATACTCATCCTATGCAGGCAGGTTACTCTGCAACAGATTACACCATCTACAGGGATGGGCAAATCTGACAGATATGAAAGTCTAGGTCAGGCAGGAGCCGACTGTCTATAACGTGCAGGAGGTAGCAAGGAGAGGTTTAAGAACATTCCAATATGCCTGCATTCTTCATCCCATAGTTTTTTCTGTATGTGGAAGGGTCATCTGTTGATTAAATTTTAACTGGCTGACACTGGTTACTACATAACAATGTGCTCTTTGCTTTATTAAATAATTCTAAAAATCTTTCTTAGCTACATATTGTAATCTTACAAGTCACCTTTGTACACAATCCCTGAGGAAGTCATAAGATGTAGGACATGCAGAAATGATCAGAGCTCTGTGTATGTGAACACCTGTGTAGAGAGTTATGAGAAAAGACAGGAGGACTCTGAAGTATTAATTCCCTCCACCATGAAGCAGAGACTCCGGTTAGTAGAGACCCTGCACCATGCACCCATAATTACGTAGTCTCAGTCTTGTCCTGCGCACTTCCATTCTCTTGTCTGGATTGGCTGTGTTGAAGATAAACAGGCGGTGAAAGATTGCTCTTCATCCTTTGTGCCCAGCTTTGTGTAGGAACAGAAGGCGTAAATCCCCCATCAAGTTATTTTTTGCTGTCTGTGTCCTGCTAGAGGCATTTCCATTTGCTTCTTGTCTTGTAGGTGCAACAGGAGATGAGATGAAATCTCCCCAGAGTGAGAGGGATTTCCCATTTTAGACAGCTGTCACCAGAACAGGTGTCCTTATTAGAAGATTTCCCCTCACCTCTTATACTCCTAAGTTTAGAATGTGCCTTACTTTCTGTCTTGGTAACAATGGCCACCTTGACAAATAGAGTAAATAGAAGGGAGAATCTCCCCAGACAGCAATACAACATGACAGAGGGTCTAACCCTTTCCCACTCAGTCCTAAACTAAAAACACAGACATACAAGTACATATATTTATTTTACTTTGCCCTTTTCACATTGCAAATTTATTTTCCCTACAGAATGTGTAGACCCGAGTGATATGTTAGCCATCATTATGATTGAACACACAACATTTATGTAAGAACACTTTAACAAGCACAACCACATGCAATATCTAGTCTACTACTTATTACTGAAAGCTGCTTATCATAGGTTTAATGCGCTAGTAGTTAAAGTTAAGGTACTTACAGAGGAATTGCAGGGATATGGGTACCATTCTCATCCACAAAGTGGCCACCAGCATTGAGGACCCAACAGTGATGTAGTGACATGAGTGCATAGCGAGCAGTACTTGGGTTGTCCTTCCCATTTTGGCTATCTGCATTTTTCAAAGGGGAGAACTCTTCCTCACGTAAAACTTCAAATACCACAAACTTCCTGTGTATAAAAGACAAATACTATACAGTACTTGCAGTATACCCCAACATCTGTACAGAATATCAAAAGGGAACAGTAAGAAGCTGCCACAGTACTGCCACCAGCCAAACTGCATGGTGCAAGACCTTAGAGGCATGTTACCCACGTGTACTTACTTGGCAAACTGGAAGATATCAAAGACAAACTTCTCCATCTTTATTCCGTTGGGTTTATCTGGGTGAATAAGCAAACCCTGTGTGTCCACATAAGGTATTTTCTTCACCGCAACATGGTGCTGAAGTTGAGGCTCATGGACCCTACAACATATTGGAACATTTGAGAGATGGCCTTCACCAAGTCTTAAGTCCCCCCTTAGGCCCAATTCACACTGGGCGATCTTGCATTCCTGCAACTGGAACCTACAGATTCCTGTGCCACGCAATGCCAGCTGTCCCCATTCAGATGTGGCTGCTGTACCCATTTAAGCTAATGACCGGGTGACAGCAGCCGCATCTGTATATGATATGACTGCAGTTTACAGAAGTGGACACTGTCACCCGGTCATTAACTTGAACGGGTACAGCAGCCGCATCTCAATGTATGCAGAATGCCAGATCGCCTAGTGTGTACGAGAACCTATAATGCCTACATCTGTAACATTCTTGTTACTTACTCCACCACTTGCTGCAGGAACCGTCTTGTGAAGAAGTGGTTGGCGATGTTCCCAGCATTATACATAAGTCTTCCATCTGTACTCCTTTTCTGTGCTGTAGCCAGTGTGATCTCACTGTATTCCACAACCTGGTACACACCATCTACGCGACAAACTACACCTACAGGCTCAGTGGGATTCATCTTCTCTACTACCTAAAACAAAGCAGAAGGAACTTTTCCTGAATCAAAACAAAATCATTCTAACCACAGTGCATTCAATGGGGTAGACTTCTCTTGGCACCAGCCTACTGCCAGAGAAAACCTGGTGGCCTCTATTATGTAAACTGGAACCAAAGCTTGCATGGTCACATCCTGGCCTACTCTCCCACACTACTGGCCACTAAAATTGATAGGCAAACTTACTGGCCTATAAAGAGGTGTCAGACCAGTGCACTAACATATGAGCGCTAGCTAGAATTTGCAGAGCCAGATTTAGGGGGGCTCCTTTGTTAGTCTGGAAATAAACTGATAATGTATGCAGATCAGTTTCATTATAAAAGAACCCACCAGTTTGCTTTATCATAACTATTAGTTTTGGGTCAGCTTAGCCTTCAGAAGTCAAACTTCATACAGTTTATTTTATGACTCCTCTAAACTGGTCAAAAGGATTGATTCTAATACATGCTAAATGCTTTACGATGCAATAACCACTTGCCCAAAGAAATGCAGAGGTGGTGAACTGAGCACTGCTCTTTAACTCAGCAGAAATTGCCACTTTATTTAATGTCACACATTAGTCACTTTATAACACTTGTTCTTGCTACTGAACTCATTAGGGATGCACCGATACTTTGGGCGAGTACTTGTACTTGCCCAACTGCTCCAAATATTTATCCCGATACCAGAACTTCCAGTATCAGGAAGCTGGGCGGCAAGTACACGCATATATATAAAAAAGAAAATCGGTACTCTTACTCAATACTGAAAAAACAGTATCAGTGCATCCCTAGTATTTAAAGTACCTGAATCAATGAATCAAAAATCTGGTGGTTATTCATGGTTGCTTACCTTGGCTCCACAGTCTGCCTCCTTGTTCACACAGAATCCAATAAATACTGGATCAGCCACCTTCACTAAGATGTTATCTACACAATACACATGGATGTACTCGATACCTCTCTTTTCCATGTCCTGCAGCACTCCGTGTGTACCCAAGGCTCTGTACAGACCTCCGTTACCATCTGTAAATTGGATTGGAAGATGGTTATTAAACATTACTCCTATAGGAATTGCCAGTCGATTGTAGTTTCATCCAGTGAGCAAACCTGGAGCCATTGAGAGTTTTCCTTTCTCCTCCATAAGGATCTTCCCCTCAAAACTCATCGCTGGCAGCATCCCCTGCTGGAAAAGGATAATGTTTTGTTCTTCTAAGCCAAAGTAACAATATTTCTGAAAGAAATCACGAGTAGATTCCATGGTACGGCCACTTGTCATGATATACCTGTAACATATAAGTAATTTAATTTAGTGTGAAAAATAGTTAAAAGGAATTAAAGACTTAAACAAGCAGACTAGGGGATGTTAGACTAGCTAGTGTATGCACCTAGCAGGACTAGATACTGTATGCACCAGCTCAGATCACACACCCTAACTTTTGTGGACATACTAGTTGGGTATCCATACAGCCACAGGTGTACAGGAATACAATAGCTGGCCGAGCAGATTCCTCCACCCATGCAGTGCAGCGTAGACTTCAACCGACTTCTCTTGTTTAGCATGTATGGCAAGTATTATTTACTTTACAACAGCTTAAGGGCTGAGGTTTGGCTAACCCTGCTTTACACTATATAATTTCCCCCATTATATATTAAACAAACCTATTATCATGGTCTTACCAAGGAATAATACAGTCCTTCCCATGTCGTTCCTTTGCCAGTCTCTGCAGCTTTAAGATTCGCTCAGCTTGTATTTGGAAGAGACTTTTGTGAGAGGGCAGACCGACATCATACATACCCTTTGGGTATGACACCCCTAGGCGTGTTCCCTGCCCGCCAGCTAGCAGCAGAACAGCCACTTTACCATCAGCGATCTGATTAAAACCTGAAGTTCAAAAAAAAAGAAAAACCACTGTATTAGTTGGTAGTCAAGATGCATCTCTACATTCATCTAAATGATCTTTCCCATCAGTCATTTCAGTGATCATTAATGTACTGATCAATATCAACTTATCATAACTGAAGTCTACTTCAAGAACATCTAGGATTTAAAGCAAACGTTAAACTGTTCAACTTTAAAAAACGGTCAACTGTGAACATTGCAAGGCTTGCAGCTTTATACCTTATACTATTGTGAAGAAACAGGTCCTCTCACCTGGCTAGGGGCATGCTCACCTAGAGGTTCTAAAAAATGAGAACCATCTGCATTCTTTGAGAGACTTCACACAGCAACAGCCTGGAGAAATGTACAGGGTGCCTAATGCACAATGTCTGGCCCATTATTGAGCACTTGGGCAAGTTTTCAGGCTGCTGCCTGGCTCTGGCAGCCCAATAATAATGAATGAGCTCTCAATGTACAGCAATGGCTTGAAAAACCTGGCTCTGGCAGCCCAATAATAATGAATGAGCTCCCAATGTACAGCAATGGCTTGAAAAACAGACATGACCCTTTTTTTTGGGGGGGGCATTGCAGCCTATAGTATCAGTTAATTGGGGAGCCACCAAGGCACCTGGTAAAATGTGCATATTCAGTGTTTTACTGCAATGTGCAGAAGTGAAGGGGGCCTAATAGAAGGACTGATGTCTTCCCTTTTTCAATAAGAACAGTATTTCTGTACCCAGTACAGCGGGATGACTCACTTCTTAGATAGTTATCACCAGTGTCCCCCATTTGAAGATTACCTCCGTACCCCCTTTTTCATTAAGTACTGTCAAATTTTGTATTTCCTATGCTGTCTGTCTAGATAGAGAAGGCAAATCTCTCCAGTAGGGTCCAAGGCAGCACCTCAGAGGCACTCTGAACAGGTGAACCACTGGCCGCTATGAACAGGAGAACTTTTACCTTGAGCTTCCCATTGCTGAAGATGCTGTTGATCTCTTGTAACACTACCAAGCACCTCTTGGGGTACAGCCTCCATCCTGGCATCTACTTTTTCTTGTGTAGAAGAAGCAGAAAATGCATCCATCGCTCTCCTGAAGAATCCATTTAATTGCAAACAGTCCAAGCCCTTTAACTCCTCCAACAAGTGAGAACGCTGAATTTCTGACAGCTCGTCCCAAGATTGCAACACATGGCTTTGCCCGGCCTTAGACACACACTGACGTAGTTTGTCCAAATTCATTTTTCAGATCCCAAGTGTCTGCAGGGAGGAAGACATTTTAATCGTTTCAATCTCCAAAAGAGTTTAACTCTTTCACAACCCTTCCAGATTTTGAATCATGACCCCTGTCAAAAACAAGGATCTGTATAATAAACAGAACCAAAAAAGCAGCCATTTCATAAGTGCAGCATTCATTGCTTTGGTTAAAGCATTAGAAATGTAGTTCTTTGCTTCTGGTACCATTTACTGACCGCTACCCCCAGTCTCTGTGCTGCAATCTCCCTGCTGTACAAAATCAAAGCCTAAAGGGCGGATTCACATTATCACATTATCTTGTGGTGTGTACCAGCAAACTACACATGATGTCACAAACATTAGCCATTCATACATCCATCCACTGATCAATACCAGGGGAGTGCCTGCACAAACCAATGAGTCAGAGAGATGGACAGAGTACCAACGGGGCGGACAGAGGGATTGGCAGAGAACCAACAAAGTTGACAGAGAGATTGGCAGAGGACCTACGGAGGACCAATAAGGCGGACAGAGGGACAGTGGACCAGGTCTATTAAGAGCTTTTCAGTTCTTTGAAGCATTAATAGAAAACTACAAATATGTGAAGTTCCCCATCAGGTCCTCTGTCCTCTCCTCCGGCTCATTGGTGAGAGCAGATACTCCCCTGGTATCAATCGATGACGGGATTTATAAATAGCTGATGTTTGTGATTAGCTTGTAGTAGTGACAAATCCCTGGTATTCAGTATATTTGTAGCAGCAGTTAATCTTTGCTAGAAAATCACCAATCTGACATTATCCTTAATATATATATATATTAGTGCTGCGGAAATTAAATGATTAATCCCTCGATTAATCGTAAATTTTTTTGATCGATCAAAATTATTTTGAGCGATCAAAGTTCTTTTGATCCGTACTCACCTCTCCGCCGGCTTCCAAGTCTTCCGTCGGAGATCCGGTGACGTCACGAACATCACCGGACTCCTCCCCCCTTCCCCAAGTGGCTGTCGGCTAATGAAGGGAAAAGGGAGGAGGCCGGGGACGTCACTGG